CGACTGCCAAATTAGTCTGTTTCCAGGAAAAGAAAGGTACGCATTCATTGCCTTGCCATTCGTTTAACAAAAGAACATCTAGTTCAACCAAGCTGTCTTTTTGGAAAGACTTTGCAAAGTACCATTTGGAGTCATAGTTGTTCATGAGGATCTGTTAGAAGGATGTTTGTTTCCATTTTACAGAGTGCTAACCTGTATGCCCATAGGCCTACATTCTCAGAGATTTCTATTCCTAACTAATGAAACCCTGGAGTTCAGTCAGATTATGTGATATGCTCAGGCAGGGTAGTATCCACAGACCACATGACTTAGACCCGACAAGTGGCAGGAATGGAACCATAACTGATATGGTACTACCTTAGTATTTCTACTGTGAGACTTTCCCTATCTCAGGAGTAAGAGTGCACTTTCTCTGATTGCTTTTCGAGCGTGGAGTCACCGATGTAACTGATTTTTGGCCTAGAAAAAATGTATTAGATATTTCTCTATGGTATAAGCTTGTTTTTCCTTCAATACAGAGACACAAATTTGGACCTGGCTGAGAATGTCTACAGGGCTTTAAAAGTTAAATAGTACCCCAAATATAAATGGCTCTAGAGCGTAAATAAAATGTGCATATGCTTTGTATATTTTGAGGTGTAGTGATACAAAGTTCATTGCCTCCATTTCCTTTCTTCTGATCACCCTACCCTATGGAAATTCTTCTCTTAGAGGTCACACCTGACATTTTCTTGTTAGCTTTAGTAGCTTTCACTTACTGGGTTATTCTACTTGACCTTTCTGCTGCATTTGACACTGTGGACTCTCCACAACCAACACCGCCTACCACCCCTCAGAAATACCCAATACTTGATCTTCTTGACATTTTTTGTCTTCCCTGCTAACTTGGCCACTAACCTCTTCTACCTTACATCACTCCCTGACCAGATGATCACACAGGCTTCCATCTGGTCTTCCTGATCCCAATCCCTCCCTCCTCTAATCCAGAATGTCAGCGTGACTGATCTTCCACAGGTCCACACTTTAACCTGACCTTAAAATCCCTTCTTATCTACGAGGGCTTCCTTACCTCTCCTGTTTCATACCCTTTGCTTTCCTCCTGGCTCTTTACACTCCAATAACACTCACCTTTTCCATCTCTAACACACCAAGCTTGACCCTTCCGGAGGGTTATGTACTAGTTTACTCTCTGCCTGAACGGCTCTTCTCCAAAACAGTGCACGACTGGCCATTTCTTTCATTGAAGTCATTGTTTCAATGCTCCTCAGAAGGGTCTAACCTACTCTCCAGATAATCATTTTGACACCCTCACGTTTTATTTTCTTTGGAGCAGTTATTACTTCTTGGTAGTTGTGTAGTTATTTGTTCCTCTCTGTCTCTAAGTGGAATGTGTGCGCCATGAGAGCTTCTTATTGTACTGCTCCTCCTCCACAACCTAGAGCAAGGATTAAAGGCAAATGAAAAACTGATATAAATTATATCAGTCCCATTCCATTCAACCCTATTCCTCACTATTTCTGCATCAGCACACTTTACTGCCTGTGGAATTTATCCTCTTTGGTGTTAGGTGGGTGGGCCTGATTTCTCCAACCAGATTATAAACTTCTGGAAGGCAGAGGCCCTTTTATACTTCTCCAGCCCTTCAGGCCTAGCACAGTGCTAAGCATCATGTGGTATGTATTCAACGAACACTTCTTGGTTTATTTCTAACTCTAACCTTATATACTGCACCACTGAACACTTTTACATCAGTAGGGCTGTAACGGAAATAAAAATAGGTCGACCATAAAACACCAGCAAAAGGGCCCATGACAGGGTGAGGGCTTTCTTTCTTACCTTCTAATTCAATTTGAGTAGCAAACTAAAGTTTTCTGGAATGAGGGTATGATGAATAGGAGGGTGTACCTTGGGAAAATTTCTTGTTTCCTTCTCTAGCAATTGATAGGCTATACTTTGTTGAGTGCTGATCATCCTCCAAGGGTAAGATACTCAAGTCGCTGGATACTGTTATTGAGTCTTGCTATCATTCTCAAGTCACCTTGGACTTCCTACTCTTCTTTGATCCCCATATACACTTACCGAAATCATCTTTTTCCTGAGTGGCATTTACATCTAACATTTCTTATTAATTCTGACTTGCTACATCAGAACCAAACAAGGTTAGGGGCTCCTGTCTTGTCTTCCCTTCTATTCCCCTGCCAATCCAACCTAAATAATCTCCTATTAAGTTAAGTTTAAATTTCTCAGGCTAAAATTCAAGCCCTGTATAAATGGTTCTACCCTATCACGTCAGCTTGATTTTCTATTGGTTCTAAAATAAACCTCTTGTTTTAATTCACATGACCCCCTTCCCCATTTTTAGCTTACACATTTTCTTCTTAGTGCCTTTGTCAAGCAATTTCCTTTACCTTTTCCCTATCAAGCAATCCAGATTCTACACTTCCTTTTTTGTCCATTTAAGGAGTCTTCCCTTAATTTACATGGATAACATCTAGTTTAAGATTTGGATTTTATCATTGAATCCTTGGTTATTCATGGCGGAATATTTATTACCTTGTTTCATATTTTCCTTTCCAGTAATGTTCACAATAATAACAGTAATAACAGCTTCACAATTTTTACATTCATGCACAACCCTTGGCACCTCCTCGGATAAATGTGTTGGGCTGGGACATGGCTCCAGAGGCCTGGCCAAAATTGCCTGGATTAGGAAGATGAACCCTGACCGGGTGAAATGGAGCTTATGCAATAGGAATCCCTGAAGCCAGGGGGACAGAATGGCCTCTGACAGCAATACCTTCCTAGTTAATGCCAAGTTCAATTTCATACATCACTCGGACCATGTAGGCAAAACTGCAAAGCCAAAGACTTCTGATGCTGAACAACTGTAAGTAGTAAGTATAAGCCAGATGTTGGCAGGTACAGGAGATGAGGTCTGAGCTCCAATCCTGGCTTTGTTTCCAATTAGTCTGGGTAATATCGAGTAAGCAATTTACCCTCTCTGGGAGTTAGTTCTTCATCTGTAAAATGAAAAGATTAGACTCCAGATGATACGAAGGACTGGATCATTCAATGATAAAATGACACGATTCTGATTCCAAATCAATGAAATGGGTGGCATAGCCTTTGGAGTTTTTCCTATACTTACTTTGTGGGACGAGGTTTACTAGTTTTGTGTGTAGTTAGAAACCCTTGCTTTCAGCTTTTGGCGTTTTCACTTTTCTTTTTCCCAATTTGTGTTAGAGTGGATGGGCAGATGGTTTATTAGGCTTTCAAATGCCTGTAATGTTGTTGTTCAATTCACAATGGGTTTAAACTTTGAAGATCCACATAGAGCCTGGATTTTGTTGAGAATGGAAGATAGTTTTAACACTTCAATTGAAGGATAATAATGCCTACTCACATAATTTAAAGCAACTTGTGAATGTAACTCCAAAGGCCTAATCAGTTTCCTTTATTTTGGTATGTTAACTCATGTCCATAGCCCAACTCTTTGAAGTTGCTGTTTTTTTTAAAAAAATTTAAGTAACCAGATTTCCAGTTACATTTGCAATGTTTTGCCTTCTCTAGACTCCCTTAACCCACAACCTGATTCCAAATACAAAATCCTTTAATTCAGAATCTCAGAAAAGCTAAATTCCTCACCTCATAGGTAAGAAAACAAGAGACCTAAAAGGTCCTGATGCTATTTCTATTGACTATGTACTTTCTAAAAATAAAAGCACAAAAGCGAGGTTAGGTTGCAGGGGAAAAAAAAAATCCGAAATGTGTGAGTTGTAAGACCCAATAGAAACCTCCATCCCTTGATATTTAAGTGTCAAAGAAATATAGCTGGAACGATGTAGGTCAAAGGTGGTCCCCATTGCTATCGCTTTGCTTTGTGATGTTTAATTACTTGGTGACTCCTCAGCTAAGTGGGACCACGGACATGCAGTTCTCGAACACTCAAACTGCATCCGAAGTGTGTGGAGTGGTCAGAACCAAAGGACGCGCAAGATGTAGGTAA